TCCCTGTCCTGCGTTTCTTTTCATGGGAGGGAGATTCTTGCTGAAGTCCAGACTGAGCAGGGCTTCGGTGAGGGCTGTTTTACCACTGAACGAACCTACATGAAATAAGTTGGTTTTAGTAGCAACGTTTGTCCTGCATCATCTGCCCTGAATTACCAGGCTTCCTTCATAGTCCTCAGGCTGGGTGTTTCTGGGATTGCTACCTCAGGGTCTCCTCCTGGGAGAGAGCGTGTGTGGCCAGACTTCCATGAGGACCAGCTGGCTAATGGGTGTTTAGTTTTAGGTTAGAGTAGGTTACCTGCCACTAGCATTTTCACCCTCCATAGTGTTACTGGGATTACTTGCTAGAAGTCATCATCCAAGCCAGGAGTACATATCCCACTAGTTGCAAAAATGAGTCAGATTCTAGGGAGTCAACTCGAAGCAGATCTGCAGAATCAGGGTTTTTTTTTTTTTTCCAGTTTCAGGCTGTCCAGAAACGAGTGTGTATAACACACACCTATGGCCATTTCATCCATCAGAGAAGAGAGCCCTAATGGCTGAAATGGCTGGGTGAGGTAATGTGCAAGTTCATTACTGTGAAGCAGCATTTTTAGATGTTCAGGTACAAATGGTTCTCAGCTGTGCTCAGTATCCCAAAAGGCATCTAGAAGCTTATTTAATTCACGTTAGTGATAGCAACTGTATCTGAGGGCAGGCAGCTTTCAGAAATGCCGGGGGAAAGGCGAGAAATTTTGTCATATTAATTTGCCATGTGAAAGAATTACACCAGAGTGTCTCCCCAGACATTCTAATTGGAATTTGTCAAGAGCCTTTAAAGAGGAGAGAAGCTTGTGACAGGGTTTGTGACGTCCGTATGGACACTGTGATTAACTGTTGGCACTCTCAGTTGCTAAATTCAACTTCTAGCCAAACCTGGTATTTTTAAGATTTTCATAAGACTGTGTTAGTTATGTGATTAGTGTTTTATTTCGATTCACCAACCAACCATAGACAATTGCTCTTCCTGTGGTTTCCAGGATGATCAGACGAGGCAGGTGGCTTTTGTTTCCACACTAGTAATGAAGCAGCACTGATATGTTTTAGTAAATATTGACCCTTTTTAATACTAATACCGTGATAAGCTATATTTGGGGGCATTTAGTTCATTATCATTGTACTGTAGGCTTTAATAGCAATGACAAAACTCATCTCTTCCTGGATGCACACTGTCTTACTGAGGGACCTCTTTGTTTCTAAACTTTTATTTCTGTTTGTTGGATATTAATGATCAAAGGTGGTTGAGTTGCCTAATATCCTGAGGGGCTTGCTGAAGCTCCTCTAACTTTGAGCTTCTGTCCCACCTGCTAACTTGTCCATCTTCTTTCCGTTTTATAAAAAATTCATCGCAGATTACATGATCATATCATAGAAAATTTAGAAAATACAGGAGAAAAAAACCTGTTGCCATAGTTTTGTAATATTTCTTTCATCTTTTTTCTGTGTGTGTGTGTGTATATATATGTGTGTGTGTATATATATATGTATATATACACACATAGAAATACAAAATAAACATGAATATATGTAATATAAACATGAATATATATAATATAAACATGCATATATATGTATGCATATATATGTATACGTGTGTGTGTGTGTATGTATTCATGTTTATTTTGAGGGAGAGACAGAGAGCATGAGGGAAGGACAGAGAGAGGGAGAGACAGAATCCCAAGCAGGCTCTGCGATGTCAGTATAGAGCCCAATGTGGGGCTCAATCTCACAAACTGTGAGATCCTGACCTGAGCTGAAGTCGAGTCAGATGTTTAACCAACTGAGCTACCCAGGTGCCCTTCTCTCCATATATGTTTTTAATGGTGTGTGTGTGTGTGTGTGTGTTTTAGGACTGTTTTGGATTGCGAGTGACAGAAATCTAGTTCCAACAAATATAAGCAAAGAGGAGGAGTTTCTTGTAAGGGATGGTGTGTGTCTGAGCCCAATGACAGGAAGTTGGCCTGAGGAACAGTAGAAGCCAGGGCACTCTGTCCGTCTTTCAGCTGTGTTTCTTCTCAGGCTTCTTTCTCTGTTTCAATCTTTGTCTCTCTCACATCCAGCAAACATCCACAGAAATCTCTCGAGTTTTAATTTCTTACCAGTTGAGCGACCAGAGAGTTCACAATTCTTGTGTGATCCCAAGACCTGTTGTACAAAACGACAGGTGGAGGGGCCTTGGCAGGCCTTTCCACCTACCGGTCCCCGGGTATGCAGGCACTCTTCCCTTTTCATTCATTCCAGCTCTAGACTGCCCCCAGCTGATGTGATCTCACAGTCCCACGTCCTGCTGCAAACCCATCACCTTCTCAGTGGGGGATAGCCTTAAGTGTCCTTTAGCGACAGCCCTTAGCAGTCTTGTCCCAGGGCCACTGTTCTGCAGGCCCATGTGCTCCGGGCAATGTCCGTTTCTCCAGTTCAGGTGTGAACAGGTTCAGATGAGTCTCAACAGCGGTCTGTAATCTGCAGGCTAAAATAATCTTATCCCTAAAACACTTGGTATGCACGACCTCTGGATTCCCAGCTAGGGCAGGCACCATCTTGAGGCTTCTGTTTTCCTATCCAGGTCGTACCCAGACTAATTTCCTAGTTCCCAAGATAGAGTTAAAAGTCTTCCTCCGATTTGGGGCTTTACACTGAGAATAGACTCCACAGGCAGTGATAAAGCTTGCTCTTGTTTCTTCCATTCCAGGTGAGTGGGCCCCAGGGGCTCTGGGCAAGGTAAAGGGTGGAACTTCTTCACCTCTAGGCCGGAACCAGACAAGAGCGGAGATGAGTCAGGCTCTGGCAGCTGCTTCGCCCCCTCTGCCAGTGGGTCTCCACAGGAATGCAGGGACTGGGGTGTCTGTCCTGCCATCTCAGGCTGCTTTGGAAAGAGCCATCGGGCTTTCCTTATTAAGGTATTAGCTGGGTGCCATCCTGGTTCTTATCGAGAGTGGGCAGGTATTATTTTAGGGTTAGGCTGCCTTGCACACATAAAGCCCCAGTCTTTCCTGTTTAGTGCTACAAGCCAGCCATACTCCTATATTTAAAAATTTTTGTGCCAAAATCCAAACTCTCACAGCATAAGCAAGTTGCATTGGCCCAGTTTTAATTTAAGACCCACAGGAACCAGGTAGCTTATGGGACAGTATGGTGACAAAGAGAAAGTCTTATTACAGGGTTGGCATTGCTGGGGGCGCCTGGGTGGTTCCATTGGTTGAGTGTCCCACTCTTGATTTCAGCTCAGGTCATGATCTTACAGTTTGTGGGATCGAGCCCTGCATCAGGCTCTGCTTGGGATTCTTTCTCTCCCTTGCTCTCTGCCCCTCGTCCACCTGCACAAATGCTCTCTCTCAAGATAAACAAACATTTAAAAAAACAAGCTGAGGGGCGCCTGGGTGGCGCAGTCGGTTAAGCGTCCGACTTCAACCAGGTCACGATCTCGCGGTCCGTGAGTTCGAGCCCCGCGTCGGGCTCTGGGCTGATGGCTCAGAGCCTGGAGCCTGTTTCCAATTCTGTGTCTCCCTCTCTCTCTGCCCCTTGCCCGTTCATGCTCTGTCTCTCTCTGTCCCAAAAATAAATAAACGTTGAAAAAAAAATTTTATAAAAAAATAAATAAATAAATAAATAAAAATAAAAAAACAAGCTGGAATTGAACACCTCAAAAGGGTGTTGTCTCAGGAAACCTTACCAGCTATCACCTGCACATGGATGTATTGCCTGCGCGCATGCATGAGCCCCCCACACAGCTGTTCCCATGGCAACTGCAGATGAGGGTACAGTTCTTAGCAAAACTGGAGGATAGGCAGACAAAGAAAATTTGTCCAGTATAATTATCACCACAGTGTACATTAAAATTTGGATTCTGTATTTTTTTACATGAAAATGTATAGAAGCATTTTTCTGTGTTGCTGTAACTTTTCCCAGGTGCTATTTTAATGATTACATAATATTCCATTGGGTGTTTATAGTTTATTTCAGTCATCTAGATATTATTGGAAATCCAGATCTTTCTAGTTTCTGTGTTTGTAAATGGGAAATGGGATATGATAAGCATCATTGTGCACACACCTTTTTCTGTTTCTGGAACTATTTCTTTAGGATACAGAATGGGAATTATAGGATAAAAAATCTGAGCATTTTTATACTTTCCAGAAAGATTGCACTGACTTATAATTTTCATTGGCACCAACAATGGATGAGAAAGTGAATTTCACCACCTTTGGCTGCTTTCTGTAAAGAGTGTGTGTGTGTGTGTGTGTGTGTGTGTGTGTGTGTGTGTGTGTGTGTGTGTGTTTAAACACATTAAGCATAAAAAATTTTATGTAAATTACATTTTGACTATAAGTGAAGAACAATTTGTGTTATATTTTTCATATATTTTCTTTTATAACCTGTCTCTTTTGAAATCTTGGTGTTTTATTGTTCTTTGAACTTTTCTTTTTCTTTTTCTTTTTTTTTTAACTTATTTTGAGAGAGTGCATAAGCCAAGGAGGGAGAGGGAGAGAGAGAGAATCCAAAGCAGGCTCTGTGCTGACAGGATGATATGGGGCTCGAACTCAAAAACCATGAGATCATGCAGACACTTGACTGATTGAACCAGCAGGCGCCCCATTGTATGAACTTTTGACGTAATGAGAGCTGTTTTTCCTATTTTGCTTTAAACACTTTTCCCTAGCTCTTTGCCTTTTTAAAATTCCGTAAGTGCACGTGGGCAAGTGTGGGTGTGCTGGCGTTCTTCTTTACCAGTGAGTCTTGCAGGATGACCAAGTTTTAGAAGGTGCAGTATAACCAAGAGAAGGAAGTCCGTTAGAAAGCTGAGCATACTTTCTTCCTCTGTTTCAGTGGAGCTGCCCGTGGATTATTTCAGAATCCCTGTCATTGTTGTGTCAGGTGATAAGCCTGTCTGTCTGCGGGAAGGATTGCTGCTTAGGGAGAATACAGCAACTGGGATCTAGTCCTGACTCAACTGTTGTCTAGACATGTGCCTTGGATGCGGGCTCTCTAACCTCAGCGTCTTCATCTTTGAGGTGGCAGATTTTAGAAGGATAACTTTTGGAGTGGGGTGGGGCGGCAGTGGGGTGGGGGGGTCTGTCTGTGGTTGTACGTGCCCAAGATGAAGATTACTATTGAACATGAACATCTCATTGCAGATTTTTGGAAGTCCCAGCACAGTGACACTTCCCGAAACCTTGTTGTTTGTGTCAACCCTGGATGGAAGCTTGCATGCTGTCAGTAAGAGGACGGGCTCAATCAAATGGACTTTAAAAGAAGGTAATTTGGATATGGTCCTTGATTGACCTGGGCATTTGCTCAGCTACTTCCCAGGAAACATATTCCAGAAAAACAGTTATACATTTTAATAAAATTAAAAAGGATAATGGAGGCAAGGAGAAGAGAGGGAATTATACTCAGAGGGTATGTTTACAGCTTGAATTGTGATTATTCACAAAGCGCATCAGTTGAAGAGGAAGCTTTATCTTTTTTTTTCTTCTGTCCAGATTTCATGTTTAAATGGCTCTAGGCTTTTCTATTAATAGTTCTGGCTGGTAGGTCTTTCACAAAGACATGCTGTATTAAATTTTTTTTTAAGTTCTAGCTAATGATTAGAATCTTGTAATCATAATTATAAGAACTATCTTCTGTAACCTCAAATTACTTGTTTGTTTTTACAGAGGCTGAACTACTTGAGGGCTGTAAAGTTTGACATTCATCCAAGTTAGCCGCTTTATTGGGTCTTTACATTGAGGGAAGTGAAACACTGAACTTGTTTCTCATTTAATCTACTCTGCCTCCGTTTTATGATCTTGTCTTGCTGGTGATAGCACGGTAGAGTCCTACAGCTGGGAAATTGTATTTGATTTCCAAAGCAATCGTCCTGGATAAAGCTATGCAAAGCCAAGGATTTGGCGCTTTCAGAGTCCAGTAATAATTCTGATTTGGCCCTAGATTAGGGTCTGACCAGCAAACTCTCTTTCGTCACTGATCTGTGACTCATTATTTACATGAGCACAGCAAGTGTGTTTCCTTCGCTAATAAAATGTTCTCAGAACAGTGTTTTGAATGGAAAAATATTGGCATATATCGTAAGGTGACACATCATTTTATCAAGCCAACAGCAAACCTGGTTACGGTCCATAGATGGCGGCAGCTGGGGCATCACAGACCACCCTGCCTCACCTGTCTGAGTGGGTCCCTGCTCGGATCAGCAAGAACCTCAGGCAGCCGGAAGGACCAGCTTTCTCAGGAGTGAATGGCCACAAGAAGACTATAGGCTTTCAGCATTGTATTACAGCCTCCCGGAATGTTATCTGTACCGTCTCTCCTTCATGTTTAAGCCTTCTAATGTTTCTAAAACAAAAGTAGAGTCCTTTAAATTTCGCAGTGTCTGATTTTGTCCAAAGATGAAATCAATAAATCCTCAACAAAAGGTTTGAGAGAAACACTTTTTACCATTGAATGTTAGGGCTGGGCCACAGTTTTCTAAGGGCCTCTGGGAGGTGGTAGGAACTGCTCTGAGCTTAGCCAGCTGAGAGCAGGAAAGATTTCTGAAGCTGTGGTGAGCTGAGCCTTGTGAATTTCTGTCGGGAGTGAGGCCTGCAAAGGAGGCAGCAGGTCTAAGTCCTGTTTGGGAGGAGCTTAGGGAGTAGAGGTGGAGGGAGAGAAGCAGAGGGCATGTTGAGTCCTATGGTAGCATCCTGGCTTTTGTACTGGGACGAACAGGAAGCTGGGACCATTAATATGACTGAGAGTGAGTGACTCAACACTAATCCTGCAGTGCAGTGTGGGAGTGTGGGCCAGTGACAGAGAGGCCAGAGCTGTGGGGCAGACCTGGAAAGGGGAGCAGGGGGATGGGAAGAGGTGGGAAGGATGAGAGGCGGGACAGAAATACAAATCAGTGGAATCCAGGAACAGATTAGGGAGGCAGAGCAGGGAGGTGTTAAGAGACACTTAAAGGGAGAATTTGAGAAATCTCAGTAAAGTCTGATAATTTCAAGTGATATTCATTATGTTCTAAGTCTCACTGTTTTTCTGAGAATAGACTGGCTTTTTATTTATTTATTTTATTATTTTTTTTAACATTTATTTATTTTTGAGACAGAGAGAGACAGAGCATGAATGGGGGAGGGTCAGAGAGAGAGGGAGACACAGAATCTGAAACAGGCTCCAGGCTTTGAGTTGTCAGCACAGAGACCGACATGGGGCTCGAACTCACGGACTGCGAGATCATGACCTGAGCTGAAGTCACATGCTTAACCGACTGAGCCACCCAGGCGCCCCTAGATTGGCTTTTTAAAGTTAAATTCAGCCCTGGATACCAGTCACTATATATATTTCTACAATAGATGTAAACACTGTGTATATTACAGTATATCTATGTATTTCTACACAAAGGTTAAGGGTGATAATGCATAGAGACCCTGAGTTTTTGACTTAGTTTTGATCTTGCAATTATAACTAAAGATTTCAAAATTGATATTTCTAAACCATTAATCTCTAAATCGCCTATAATGGTATCCAGATACTGTTCCAGGCCCTGTGGGTACAGCAAATGAAAGAAACAGACAAAATCCTCTCCCCCCTAGAGCTTTCATTCTGGCAGGAAACAAGGAAATAAATTACGTAGTGGTGATAAAAGCTATGACTTTATTGAAGAAAAATAAAGCAGGGGAGTGGAATAGAGAGGGCCAGGGGTGGAGGTGGGGGTGGGGGCTGCAACTTTCAACAGTGAAGGCCCCACAGAGAAGGCGCCATTTGAGCAAGAACTCAAGGAGGCAGGGGAGCCTTTAGGCAGAAGGCATAGTAGGGGCGAGGTGGGGAGAGTCCTCCGTGGTGGAGGACTTGGAGTATGGGAGTGGCTGCAGGGGGGGGCAGGGAGTAAAGGAGAGGAAGAGGAGTAGGAGATGAGAGCGCCAGTCCTGCGGGGATGCCATGCTCTCTCCATACAATATTTATTACGGAAATGCCTCCCTACTGTCCTGGAGTGAAATGTATAGACAGTAACCCCCCCCACACACACACACATACACAGACACACAATTTCAGAAAGAAATACATGTATTATGCAGCTGGTAATCTAACAATGGACTAATAGAAAAGTAATTCTTACTCACCTACATGTAATTTAACATGTAAATACCCCCCTACACGGTGACACTCCGCCGTGAGTGAACGTGGTGCCTGCCAATGCAGACTGCTAAAACACCAGGACATTTAGCGGTGCCCGCATCTCCAAGATGGTGAGCAATTCTTGGTAACACTCCACATGTCAGAAGTGCGACCTTGCCTGCTTTCTACAGTAGTTAAAGTCTGGAAAGATTACTTGTATAAAATTATGCAAAAAGTACTTTTGTGCTTTTACATAAGTGAGGTTGTAGGCTCCAGGGAGTTATCAAAGGTTTTTGGCCTGTGGGAGTGTCTGACAGTGTACAGATTTGACATGATCTTTGGCTGTGCAGTGCCTGCCCCCGCCCCCCCACACCTCCCACCAGTCTCTGTGACCGCCAAGAAATGCCCCTCACAGATTTCCTGAGTGCTGCCTGGCAAGCCGTGCCCTCCCCATAGAGGTATAGCCTCCCCATAGAGGTGTAGGGCCTGGTGGCTGGTGTGAGGCTGTTGGCCTTTTTGAAGCCACCACCGGAGACATCTGATCAGGGGAGCGACTTGCCCTGGTATTGCAGACTGATGTTTGTGTCCTTCCAGAATTCACGTTGAAGCCCTCCCCCACAATGTGGTGGTATTTGGAGGTGGAGCCTATGGGATTTAGTTGAGGTGAGGTCATGAGGGAGGGACCCCCATGATGGGATCAGTGGCCCTTTTGGGAAGAGGAAAAGCCCAGAGCCTTTGCTCTCTCCCACCATATGACAGCACAGTGAGAAGGCTGCCGTCAGCAAGCCAGAAACAGGGCTCTCACCAGAACCCAGCCCTGCAGACAGCCTGATCTTGGGCTTGTAGCCTCCAGAACAGTGAGAGGTAAATGTCTGTTGTTTATGCCACGTAGACTGTGGGATTTTGTTAAGGCAGCCTGGGCTGGCTAAGATACCTGGCCTCCACTTTACAGGGTTAGCAGGTGCCATGTTGAGACTGAACTGATGAGGCCAGGAGGAAGCTGGAGACCAGGCGGAGGCTGCCGCACCAGTCCAGGCAAGGGAGGCTGTGGGCTTGGGCCTGAGAGGCAGTGGGGGATCAGAGGCAAATGGAAGAAACTTGCAGATGCAAACAGACCCCTTTAACTCATCAAGCTGGGGCTATGCACAGTATCTACCTGTTACTCCATTTCATGGTTTCCTGACTGTTTACTTGTTTCAGGGGCCAACAGACTGGGAGAGTTTTGTTTTCTTTTTTCTTTCCACAGAGTGGTTTTGGCAGGTGCTTTTGTTCCTCACCCAAACATGTGTTGCCGTTCCCAGAAATGAAGATTTCTTACACCACAGCAGCGAACTGCACCTAGTACAGAAAACGAGTTTTATTTGCTTTCAGAAACTAACGAGTTCTGACACCACGCGAGGTGCAATCTTTCTAGGCTGTGATTTTGTGACTGTAGCAACAACACTGTCTGGCTTTGTCTGAAATTTCACCAGTGGAGATAGTTGAGTGTGTGTTTCTTTTCTGCACTTTCAGCCCAGATGCAAACAGAAAACACTGCTGCCCTGTTTGGCGTTAGATTGGTTTTCTAAAGCTTGCTTTGGCTTGGTGGGGTTGAAAGGACTTTCTTTTGGTATTGCCTGGGCTGGTTTAAGGCTTCTTGCATTCACTTTGAGATACCATTTGACTAAAATTAACGAGCTAACTAGGATTATTTGGAAGAATAATAAAGAATAAACTAGATAGAATAGAATACAAGAATAAAGTTACGTGAAATTTGAAGAAAATCTTCCCACCTGAGTTTACCTTTCTTAACGTGTGCCTCTTCCCGTAGTTCCTCCTGGTGCCGACAGCCACGGCCCCCCCAGTCTGGAGAGTACGGTGATGCTCTGCTACTTGGTCACTGAGTTCTGTCATGTAGACTGAAGTAGTGTCTCTTAAATGTGGCTCCTTTTTTTTTTTCAGTTTTTATTTATTTGTTTTGAGAGAGAGAGTGGGGGATGGGCAGAGAGAAGGGCGAAAGCAAGAATTCCAAACAGGCGGCGCACCGTCAGCACAGAGCCCGACGCGGGGCTCGAACTCCTGAACTGTGAGATCATGACATGAGCCTAAACCAGGAGCTGGACGCTCAACTGACTGAGCTACCCAGTCCTTCTAGCCAGTATCTCAGCCAGACTCATTTCCTAGAT